AATATTATAATTTTATATGAATAAAAAATTAATTATTTAAATAAAATATTAAATGTAATATTTTTCAAAAGTTTATGGATAATTTATCAATAATCAAAAAAAATTTTGTTAATTAATTAACAAAATATTTACTAAGAGGACATTTTAAAACGAAATTATTAATTTATAAATTATTTTAAAAAATTTATTTTTAAACTAAAATAAAATAAATCACATAATTAATATATCTTGAATTTAGCCGGTTTTCGTCCTGGTGGATAGTAAGCCGACTAGAAATACAAAGAAGAAGACACGACCCAATCCGATGAGATGGACTGAGTTGACTCGGGCGAGTTCTTGTGTCGACCATTTGGCGACACTACAAGAAAACTTAGTTTCACCGACCAAATATCACCGACGTAAGAAGGTTTCTCGGTGAAGCACCAATTTACCAACAAGAATCAAGTCTGCAACTTGAGAAACAGTAGAAACGCGAGTAAGATATATTATTTAGTTTACAGACGTAATGCTTGTCGGTAATTGAAGGTAATACATACGTGCCACTCGTCGGTAAATGCAGCATCTACTCCAGCTGGTGAGAGAAGTCGGAAACCCATATCACCGACGAGGAGAACACCTGTAAATTCAAATTTGAAACGATAGTCTCGTCGGTAATTAGGATCAATTTCCAACGTCCACCTTCTCGGTAATTTCCACTCCCAATGCACCCCCCCGCCAACCAGCTGGCCGCCTACGACAAGCAGTGCAGCTTTTTGCTGAAATATGCCGACATAGACCTTGTCGGTAATTTGGGATTCAGCAACTCCCTGCGAATCCGGCTGCTGGCCGGTGGCGTTGCAGCTTTTATTTCATTACCGATGAGATGCAGGTCGAGAATAGGCACATTGCCAACTTGGTGCTCGTCAGTGATGGGCCCGATCAACGAGAATCCTGATGCAATGCAGAGGTGATCAGCTTTAGACTGTAGCAACGTGGGTTTCGTCGGTAAATTTGCCTATGCCCTGCCGACCCGCCCTTCTTCCTTCATTTTGGTCTTTCTCCTTCCATTTTCATTTCCCTCTTCTCCCGCTAGTTGTTCTTGCTCCCTTTCCTCCATTCTTTCTTTTGAAGCACTTTAACACATTTTTCTTCTTGCAATCTAGTGGATCAAGCAGTGGTAAGTAAAATTTAAGTAGTATTATTATTTTTTATTTATTTTATGTATATTTTATTTTTTTCTGAAATTTAAACCATTA